AAGCATTAAATATTCCACTGATTTCAAATGGGTATGTAGGATTTTTAACAACTGTCTACCAATCAATACCGAAATTAGACTTGTAAATTTATAAAAAACAAAAAAAAACAAAACAATGGCATGAAAATATAAACCTGGAGAATAAGGGAAGCTTATGTCGAGAAAGACGAGCAGAAGTGGGCCTTGTTGAAGCGAATCCCCCAAGCTTAGTCGCCCCTGAAGCGATATGTGAAGATGACGATGACCTGCAACCATTTAGAATGGTAGCTGCAGATGCAGAGGAGCTTAGAAGAGTTCGTCTAGCACAGCTACTAGCCATTTTTTTTCTATCTTCCTTTTCTTTGTTTCTCCCTCACTGCCCTGCAGCCTACAAGTTACAGAAGCTCCAACCTTGTGGTGTAACCCTAAATTCGAGTTTGGAGGGCGAGAGGCAAGAACCGTGTTGTTGCTGCTGCTTGTCAATGGGCTGGCCGGGTTGTATGTGAATTGTGAACTATGGACAGGCCGGTTCAACGGTTCTAAATTGGCCATACAAATCCAAGCCCAGATCCAGCCCATAATACGTGAAATAATCTTAACTATTTGCAGCCTAATTTATATCTGGGATCAAACCCAGTCTGATAGAGGTGGAAAAGTTTTTATGATCAGATCGAGTTTCATAGGCTTAACTACCACTTAATTACTTAGAGCTGGCTTATTTAATGCAAAGCTGCATTGAATCTCTTTTACTAAAAAAAACTACTTAATTCAAGCAAGAGCCACCTATTCTACTAAAACTTCATAAAACAACTTCGTATTTTGGTTTTTCAGTCCACAAATTAGTACATTTATTCATGTTTTGAATCCTGATCTTAGCCAGATGGTTGAACTGGGTTTAATCAAACGGAATCTGGGCCAGGTCATAGTAGACATGGGACCAATAAGAAAACATAGATCCAGAATAAACCAAGCCCCGATAAGATCCAATCCGGATTGGGCTTTCAGGTCTAAGCCGATAAGATCCAATTATATTTGATAACCTATAGTTTGGTATTTGACAATAAACCTATTAATTTTCTTTCTTTTTAATTTTTCAAATATCTTACGTATCCCCTATAAAATGATAATTTTATGGAAAAATACATGTTGCTGAAGCAAAAAGACTTGATAACTGAAGGGCTTTGACCAATCAAACCTTCAATTTGATAAATAACCACCCGATTGGTTACCACTTTTATAATATCAGTTTACTAATCACAAGATGTTTTTCCAATATCATAATTGAACCCTAATTTTAAATGTTTTATATGAATAAGTTATTACAGATAAATCCATGAGAAACATGTATAAAATGTTTTGTGTATTTTTATCACGTGTCATGTATACCTCAATATGTAATCACTATGGATTGATGTTTTAAAAAACGACCCGGAACCGTTCTAGCCACTGGTTTCTGAGTCAACAGTTCAACCATTCAGTTCGAATGATGGCCCATTTTGACAAAAAAAATTAAAATAAATAACAACCAAAAACCATTTAACGGGTTGACCGTTAGATTATCCGAGTCAATGGGTCATTGACTAATTCAATGGTTTTTTGCTAAGGATCGAGTTTGGGGTAAAACAGAACTGGTTGCCTGGACGGTTCTTGGCCAAACGGTCTGATCGTCGGGATCATATACGGCTCAAAAACCATGCTCTAGATTTAATTAGGTTGGAACATATAAAACCATTCCCAGGCCTTTATGGTCAAGGTTCAAAGTATTGACACATATTGGCCTGTATCATCCGATACGTATCGTGCCAATGGCTTCCCAATACGCCCCTATGGGGGTTGTATTAGGTCAGACCATGGTTCAGAAGGTAGCTAGGACTTAAACCAATCCCTTTGAACCGATTTTGAAAAAAATAAATAAAACATAAAAAAAGCACCGATAGAGATCGATACACCCTCTAAACCTTGTTTATGATTGGATATCAACATCCAAACCTAAAACCAACCGGTCCAACCCTATTGATAATTGAAACTCAAAATGAGACCCAAACCGTACGTAATAGGATCCCGTTGTTTCAAGTCTATCAAGTTGACCCCAATCATTGACATCCATAAGAAACCAGTCAACCAGTGAATCAAATGCCTTTCTATATATGGAGTGGATATTTGCCTTATATTCCATATAAGTATTAAAAATAAATCCAATTATCATATATCAAAATATGGTTAATACTTACTTGTACACGTACATATATGTGCTCTTATTCTTGACTTTTATATAAGTACAATTGAAAATATCATTTCAACAATGGGTCCCAGTTTGTGAAGCATTTGAAAACATGTTTCATCAGGTTGCATTTTCAATCAATGACCGAGTTTGATTATCATTCAAGACTCATCAACTATGTTGAATAAAAAAACTCGGGTATGTGTCCGACTCAGACCGGACCGGACAGCTGGACTAGATGGGAATGATAGCCAAAACGGTTTTTGAATTGTTTACTAAGAAATGTTGACTTGGTCAAATTCACCCTAATACATGTATTACTGGGTGTTATAACCTATTATATTTATTGTTTAAAGCTTATTTAAAATAGTTTCAAAAGATAATCTGAAAAAAGTATTACTTTTATTTATTTTTTCTTTTTCTGCATTTTTTATTTGAGTCGATCAAAGTATCAAAACATAATATACCCAAGGTTTAAAGTACTGATATATATCGACTTGTATCGATTAATACATATCATTCCGGGACCTCTTTGATACGCCCCTACAGTGAATATATCAGAGGTCTGACCGGTTCAGAGGGTGAAGGAGCCCTAAACCAGGCCCCCCTGAATCAGTTGTGAAAAAAATTAAAAAAAAGGCACAAAATGCAGTATTGATTCATCCGATACGCCCCTATCGGTATCGACCTTATCGATATTTTGAGGATCAAAGATCAATAACATGCTAAATACTGAGAATTAGAACCTTAACAGGATTAAATTAATACCCATTTGTGAATTAAAAAAGAGTATCGATTGTTGGAAACTCTGGGATACGCGATCTGTGCATCCGGGGCATCGATAACCATGTCTCGGTCAAAGTCAAAATCTGATAGAGTGATAGCTGGAGCCTGGAAGTCAGTGATTAGAACAGTTTTAGATCTACTCCGGGCCTGACAACATTGCTTAGGTATGCTAAAAGCCGTTTGGTTGCAAAATCTGGTTTTATTATACATTCACGACCCAGTGTCCAACCCTGTGAGATCCCAAACCCATGTGATTTTAGGTTGTTGAGATTCTGATTATTATACCAAAATGCACAAAATCAGAGTGTTGCATAGTTGCATGCAAATCCTAGTGTAAATAAAGGCCAAGTACAGAATTGATACTAGAATCTGTATGTATAATCCAAACGGACCACAAGAAATAACCTGGTTTCTTCCTACATTTCAATTCTGTAGAGAAAAGCTATTTGTGGGATCTCGTTGTGCGTATGTGTTTTCTTTTATCAAAAGAAGAGTTACAAAGCAATCACTATAACACACAAACACACACGCACTTTCCCATAGACTGATTAGCAGTTGGAACCAGAATAGAAATCCTTTGGAATCAGAATCGGAATGGTCTATTCCCATAAACTGTTTGGTTCAGACAAGAATGGGAATGAAAATTGAAATAAGCAGGAATGGGATTTCATTCCAAAAGGAGGGGTAGGGAATGGCCATTCCCTCAAATGTGGAATGCCATTCTAGCAAGAATGGGAACGGGATTCCAATTCCGCCCAACCAAACAGTTGGAATTGGAATAGCCCATTCCGATTCCAGACCCATTCCTATGAACCAAACGGGGCCTAAGATTAAGCAATCCATAAAATAAAATTCGAACTTCATTCCTCAACGAGTGGGCCAAAACTCAGGTATCAGGCGTAGTCACCAGGTTTCTCTTTCTCGGGCTTCATTATGTCAGTTATCAATTCAAGCCTAGGAGTTTACAAGTACATGGACAAATTGAACCAAGATCATGAAAATCTATCAGGCCTGTTTGAATTACCGTATTTTTATCTGGAAGATTGATGGAATCTTGTTTCCTCACATCATCTGATGCTGCAAGAGCTCGTGCCAGATTTGGAATACGTCTAGAAATGAGAGTAGTTGACACAAGAAATGAAATTCGGATATTTTCCTTTCACAACTCACAAGTAACAAAAATCGTAGGATGTAAATGAGCATATTGGAACAGGCATTCTAGTGCTTGGAGGCACTTAATCATGCCTTCTTTGCTTTGCACGTTTCCACGATTGCTTACCCTTGATCTTCCATTTCTCAACCCCAACTGAACGGTTCTGCTCCTCAATCTCCCTAACTTTGCGTTTCCTGCAGAAAATGAAGTCACAGGAACTGAGCAACAGAAACAAAATCAATGAAACTAATAGCAAGGTTAGAAAGATATCTTGTTATTCTTCAATTGTAAACATGTGATAAAAAATGTGCTTGTCTGAAAATTTCACAGGTTGGGTGGGTGGACACCCCAAGGCACATCTCATGTCTAACTTATACAACCAAACAGAAGTTGGATTTGTCAACTTGCTCTACTTTATCTCAGTATTGCAAATTATCTAAATTACAAGCAATTTAAGGAATCTGAAGCCTTTGACCCAAAGCCATTTACACCCAAAGCAACAACCGAGCTACTACTATCACAGCCATCCCTACAGTTGGCCTTGTCCATCCTTACTACTATCACAGCCATCCCTACAGTTGGCCTTGTCCATCCTTAGTGGCTCTAGAGCAGCAAATTTGCTCCTACACTTAGTTATAGGCTGTTGCAAACGAAATCACATCCTCTGTACCCTTGGTACAGAAAATTTTCTGTATCAAACCAATAGCAATCTGCCACACCATTTAAAAATCACTTTACTTTTGAAATGGGAAGAACAGGCTGGTGTGGTAGATTGCTATTGGACTGGTACAGAACCAAGTGTGCAGAGGATGTTAACTCATTGCAAACCCATTTTTATTTTGTGGCCTTTGCCTGGTGCTTTTGGAACATTCGACTTGGACCAAATCAATCTTTCTCAATGGTTTCACATGGCCAAACCAAAGTCTATCTAAACGCTGCTACACCAAATACATCCTACATGCACATGTAAGAGGTATATAATTTCAGCCTTTACCTCTTGTGTTAGGACCAAATATACATTAGGAATATTAGCATACAAATCCAACCTCACCTCAGAAGGGGTAAACCCAACCAGAGGATTAGAAGTGTTGAATCAACCCAACTAAAGGTTGGAATTTGTGAATTGGATTGATTGAAGTTGACTCCTACTTGAGTTGAAACAGAACATGATGGTATCTGTGCCTTTCTCTCACCTGTACTCCCTAAGGGAATGATCTGAAAGCAGCTCATCTGCAAGTGTTGCCTTCCTTTCCTTCTTAGTGAGCCTTCCTGAGAAGAAATCTGATGCAGATTCAATTACGGTGCCCACCTGATTGATAAATTTTGGTTGGTTCATCAGAGACTTTAATTCATCAATTGGCAAATAAAATGAGAATAATATAGAGCAAAAATAAAGATATATAGCAGAATGATTCATTCTACTAGAACAAAGACTTGCCTGGAAATACTTGGGGAGTGCCTTTGATTTTAAGTCTCCCTTTTTGTAGTGCCTTTTAGGATCCATAACATTCCTCAACTGCAAAATAAATAATTAAATGTCACACACACACACACACACACACACACAAACACAAACAAAGAAGAATATATGACCATGTTATCAAGTAAAACAGATCCTGAAAATCACAAGTGAAACCTCCCAAATGGATGAACCATCAAATATAGGCTTTAACACTTGCCAGTTACCAAATATCAGGTTTATAAACCTGTAGATAATTATCACCATCTAAATTTTGTCACAACTATATGGGGTTAGCTATATGAATCATGTTTCGCCATTTCTGTTCTGTTCAGTGCCATACCCCTAGCTCTTTTAGCTCCTTCAACTTGTAACAGATCAATTTTTCTAACAGCTGCTCTATAATACACCGTAAAATACTTTGGCATATTTGACTTCTTATGATTTGTGAGAAATAGAGAAAAACTGAGAGTCAAGAACACTAGATAGAAGATTCAAACTGCAAAGGTACTAAAGAATACCTGAAGGCTGCAAACTAGACTAGCTGAATTCCCCAAAGAGTAACAATTATTTGGACAATGTAAAAGTCAGTCAAAGAATATTACCAATGAATGATAGGTCAAACCAAAACTCCCTAACCCATTCACTTCAATGTAAATACCAAGAATACTTTCATCTCTCACAGCTAAACAAATAAACATCTCAAGCATCAGGCACCTACTTTAAGTTAACGTGTTAATCATATTTGCAAGGCCCCTCAGGCGCCTTCTCAGTTTACACACACAAAGAGTCATTCAAAAGGCGCACGCCTAGGCTGAGGCGCAAGGCACACCAGGCGTGCGCCTTTTGAAAGGACTGCGCCTAGGACCTGGGCGAGGCGCCTACCCTGAAATGCGCCTTGCCTGTGTGCCTAGGTGCACCTGAGGTGTGCCTTTTAAATCACTGGCTTAAACTACACAACCATCAATTAAAATTTTTCCTGTATATTTTTTTATTGACAAAAGGAAACTTTATTACTCAAAACCACAAAAATTTAAATTAAATTAAATTTTCCAGTATAAACCAACAAAACCTTTATGGAGTATGGACTGTGCAAAATGTGGCTTGAGCCTCACATTGAAGCCTCAAGGCTTGAGCCTCATATGCTTTTTAAAATACTATTCCAAAATTCAAACCCTAGTTCCATGCAGATCTTTCTACTCCTTACTAATAACCCCAATACACCAAACCAAAGCTTACTGCTTTCTTGCCAATTTTCCAATGCTAACTATAATAGTCAACAGCTTAACAGTAGGAACCATGTAATCTTTACTCCTACAACATTGTTCGATGGTCTGAACCTATCATAATTCTGTTTTAAGAGCTTCAGGCCCTTAAACTCATGCTAATACCAAATAGCCTACCCCTATTTCTCCCTTAAGTTGATCCATTAACAACTCGAAAACTATATATAATCATAACCCTTAAACAACCCGCTTAAATCCTTTTAAAAGTCAATAGGATTGCATATGAGAGTGACATATGAGACTCACATAACAAAGCTGCTTGTTTCATTATTTACAAATGCTTTTAATGAACTTTGAAACTAAAAGAAACCTATTTTAAATCCAATGACCATGAAGTAAAAGTGGCCCATGTGCACTTTCAATAACTTGAGAAGTAGGAAAATTACTCTATTAACAATATTCCACATTATTAACTCCTCCATTTGTCTTTGTTCTCTCAATGTTCACTTACAAGAATTACATATATCACTTATTGTCAAAAGCTACAATTAACCGTATCAGCAGTTCACAACATAATAGTTTCTGCCTAAACTGCCTAGGTTGCAATTGCAAGCAGAAAAATGCTAGTCCATACATGCCAAATTAGAAATAACAATGGTTGTACCTTAAGAATCTGAAGATCTTTCTTTATCTCCGGTGTGATAGTTGGGGCAGGCATCTCAAACCTAAGTATGCATTTAAAAAAAGACACCATGATATGAACCCTAAAAATAGTAACATAATTATTCACAGTTCAACATACAATCTGTCAGACTGTCAGTTGTAACATACCAATTTTTACCAGCCGTATCTTTCACTTGTTTCTGCATCAACTTGTTCAACTTCCTGGGGTCATTGGGTGGAACAAATAGTCCATCAACAAGATCAATGTCAGGCTTCCATGTCACACTTTCAGGTAGCTTTTGCAGTTTCTCAGACCCATTTTGTATTCCAGATGAGAGTGAGGGTAACTTTGGTTCCCATGTAAGGCCAATTGTAGCCTTACTGTCAGGCATTCTGAGTGAGATTAGGTCCAAGCAGAATGCCTGTGTGCCTGATCTAATAACCTGTAAATTTTATGAAAAAACAAGCATTAGCAATTCCCACTCACTATAAATTGGGGAAAGAGAAACTAACACTAGGGTTGTGTTTGGTTTCATAAATAATAAGAGAGAAATAGAAAGTTGTGAGAAAGTTCTCAAGGAATTTCACAAAATTTGCTAATAACTTTCCCTCAACTTTCTGTTTCTCTCATATTTTCTATCAAACAAAATGTAGCCTAGGTGAATTACAATCACAAAAGAAAATATAATTTGTGACAACTAAGACCATGTTTTGGTTCAATTCTCATTCTTACCCAAGATAAAATTCTAAGATGGAAAAGAATGAGCAGAAATGGGCAGAATGAGAAAATATTGCTACAAACCAAATGCTTTTTTCCTAAAAAAAAAGAATTCCTTTGTGGCAAGAATGAGAATAAGTTTTAACCCATTTGGTTACAAATTTCATTCTCATTCATTTTTTTATTAATCAAAATAATAGCATAGAATATTCAACACTCAATAGCAGATATATAGTGGAAACAGTGTTTTCAAAGCGCAAGGCACAAAAAAAACACAATGGTCAATTTGCGCCTGAGGCACAAGGTAAGGCACACGCCTTTTTTAGGCAAGGCACAAAAATATACAAAAAAAAAAGCCAAAATTAAAAAAATGCAAAAAATATTAAACATAATATTAATAAAAAACACAAACTTAAATTTTAAAATAAATGTTTTAAAAAACCTATTATCTAAAATTAAAATACATAAACATAACATGTAAAGCGTATTCAAATGAAAATTTAAAARTAAAAGCAAACATWWAAASCAYTYTCAAGYRTGTAAAACCCACAATATCTTTTTTTCCTCAATTGCATTGCTTCAAGTAGCTAATGTCATGTAAAACATATTGCATTCTTGATTCTACGAGTCACCTTTGTACCATGCCCCTCGAGGCAAGCCCGAACAAGTCCATGTTAGGGTTCGCTCTCTCACTGAAGCTCCAAGAACCCCCTATTTTCTAATGTTGTTCATTCATTCATTCTAATAAAATATCTTCTTAAAAGGCAATTAAAGTTATAAAATCATTATTTTTTATGTGAGAAATAAGAATTTAAGACCCCACCATGGACTTGTTCGGACTTGCCTCGAGGGTGTGGTCGAGGGTTCGGGCACAGCCGTTGGGCTAAAAAAAAGCAAAAAGTGCAGAATTTTAAAAAGGTGCATGCCTAGGCTGAGGCGCAAGGTGCATCAGGCGCACCAGGCGTTCGCCTTTTGAAAGGGGTGCACCTAGGACCTGAGCAAGGCGCATACCCTAAAATGTGCCTCACCTGTGCACCTAAACGCACCTTTTAAATCACTGAGTGGAAACATGCAAGACCCACACCAATAAAATACAAATCAACCATGTAGGCCCCACATCAATAACACAATGTGAAAAAGATATATAATGGATACTCCAACACTGTTTATTGGTTTAGATACATGGTTTAAGAGGTTTTTCTTTGTCATCAAACTCATCATCATAGAGAAAGCTAGAGATTGTCAAATACTATCTTGACAACCCATGTATTTTCTAGTGTTTGTAAGAAGCCATATTGAGCTGTCTTATTATTTACCATGTTGGGTGATTCCAGATAAACCAGTAGCTCTTGCAGGCAAAGAAAAAATATCAGAGAGAAAAACTAGAAGGCTCCAAATGTAGCTTAATGTCTGTGTTTTCTGCAAGGTTAACATTTTATATGCTTATTCTATAACTATATTTTAGAGAATGGTCTGAGATTAGTATATTCTTGTAGGCAGAAGTGCAAATCAAATTGACAATCAAATGGATGCAAAACTGATATTAATAGCAATTTACCCAGTCATACAAACAGTGCCTAATAACAGCACAGAAAAGAGCCCATGACCACGTATAATAAAATCAGTTGACCCATCCCCATCTGCAACACTGTAAGGAGAGAGAGAGAGAGAGAGTGCCAAAGAAAGAAGATACAGTGTCTCGTGTAAAAACAACTCATTTATCTAGAAGGGGTCCTATCATACTGATGAACATTCAAATAAATGGCTGCTTGAGAATTCAATAGCCGTTCTAGGCTTCTACCACAGGTTAAAATCTATCAAGAAGAAAAGTGAATAACCACCTGTTGAAGTAAGACTACTCAAATTAATCCAAATACTTAACTACCACATTTTCACAGCCAGTAAAAATTACAAAGATAAGAACAAAGAGATTGGTGTTTCACTGTGAAAGGAATCACACTGTTAAACTGATAGCAAGTGCAGTTTTTGAGAACCTTATAGGAAGCAATAATTGAGAAGTGCAAACCAGAGATGCTGATAAAGTAAAAGACAATGCATCAAGAGGGGAAGGATTATGGACATATTACAGTATAGTCTATATGGAATATAGATATAGATATATTTTATGGTAAATAAAGAAAGACTTTATTTAAAGAAAAAAGTAAGTATATCACTTTTTATATTAGAGCCAGCCCATTGCTAATCTTGCATGGCTCTATTAATTTTTGTTCCTTTCTATATTGCTCCTTTCACAGTGTCAAGATCCATGCTTGTGTTGCAAACTGCATGGCAACGGGAAGACCTAGCACCATAGCTTCACCATCAGCAAACTTCATTGATCATAGCCTAATCTACAATGCACCTTCCTAACTCACATGCCAAGCCTAAACTCTTTATTTGGAGGATCAATGAGAGAGAAACCAACACTAAGTGATTTACCCCATTTTAAATAATAGCTGCAAAGAATGGTGCAAATGTGAATGCTAAGTACTACTTCTAATTTATTTTCTCTCAAACACCATAAGTTTTGCCTACTCTAAAAATGAATAATTGGCCCTTGGCAAAGTGGAACAGCAAAGCAAGATTCATATAGCCAACCCAAGATTAATTAGGATAAGACCTAGTTGAGTTTAGTTCTCTGACGAACCTTCTGAACTCGCAACATGACCAAGAAGTCTCATACTCTGTACTGAGACCACTATATAAGGTAAAGAGTAGAGACATAATCTGAACTAGCAAGAATTGTGCTTCCATCCACTTGCCAAATAGATGGTTGTGCATCAGATGAACAGTTTGGATTGGCATACATGATTAAACTACAAATGGCAATCTGATTTTGCATCTACTGCAATCGATGTCACAGAACAAACTTGAGACAACCTGTTAGCACACATTAGCAATCAACCTAACAGCAGTCTTAATTCCATTTTCAGGTTGTTATTTCTGTTTGTAAATTTAGTTTGAACTATTGTTATGATCAAGCTCCAAAGAGTTAGCTGTAAGTTTTTATTCTTTGTTTCATACACATGTATATGTTGTCTATGCTGTAAGCTTAATTCCATCTCCTATTAACAAAGCCCCTGTGATTTCATGGTGAAAGAGGGTATATCCTATTTCATGGTTAAACTCATATGTGTTTCTTTTTCTTTTCCTGGATACATGATCTACTTCCTGCCAACAAGATACAATGATATTGTCCTTCTATCATTAGTAATAGTATATTGTAATAATTGATGCCTTGATAACTACAACCAATGTGAAAGCACAGAACACCACTTCCATTTCATTTTAAATCACTCATCACATTTGATGCACAAAAAACTAGAAACAGACTTATTATTTAAGACAAATACTTCCAAATTTATGAATTTTGGAGATTTCAGCTGATGATGACTTGATCAATAAATAAATCCCTGTAACTCACAGTACTGAGCTGTGACTTAAACTGTTGTCAATTTGACATGTTAAATTTGCCCCTTATATTTGTAACATCAGAAACTCATTAAAAGGAGGAAATATCTAAGGTACAAATTAATAATCCCTTTAAAAGTAGATTGACTGGCAATCAGCAGGTTAGTAGAGAAAATGCTTCTGCCCTCCACCTCCCACTGCTCCCTAAGCACCCCCCCCCTGGCGGGAAAAGAAAGAAAAGAAAAGAAAATGATCTTACCTCATTGCCACCAGGTCAATGATATATTTCTAGCATTCCAAGTGAACACTGTTAAAAGCAGGGAAACCCAGAGCACGGCTAAATAAAAAAGGAAAGGAAAGCATTGCCTATATTTCTGGATCTGTCAAAATGGACTCTAAGAGGTATATATGAGCAGTGTTTTAAAAGGCGTGGGAGGCATACACCTGGAGGCGCTCCCAAAACGCCCTGAGGCATATGCCAGAGGCGCTGACACCTCTGAGGCACCTCTTGCGCTTTTTTCATGAGGCATGCTAGAGGCGTACACCTCATGCGCTGCACATCTGATATAAAAAGACAGGAAAAAAAGGAAGAAAGAAAAAAGAAAAAAGAAAAAAAAAAGAAAGGAAAGGAAAGGAAAAGAAGGGAAGGGAAAGAAAGGGAAGGGAAAGAAAAAGAAAGAGAAGAAAAAAAGAGAAAAGGAAAGGAAAGGGAAGGGAAGAAAAGATAAGGGGAAAGAAAGTGGTTTGCCCCCTGCCCCTTCGGCTGGGGGGCTTCGCTCCCTAGACCCCGTCCCCTTTTCGTCAGGTCCAATTGCTGGTACAAGAGAAACAAGAGGAAAGATGAAGCAAGATTGCATGATCCATACAAGTATGCATGATGATCAGGAACAATCAACAGTTCAGAAAATCAATCACATAAAAAGTATCTTCCTTTGAGGATAAGGGTCATTCTCAAAGGAAATCAGTTTGACCCCATAGACAGAGGTTAAATCCAGAAATGAAATACTACAAATGGTACATAGGGAAGGTTGTGTGCCATGTGCCAGGGTCAAAATAATTCTCATAAAACAAAATACTACAAATGGTTGCCTAGGATCTTGGTGTCATTTTATGCCTATGTTTCATTTCACCCTTGAGCTTCCTCTTTTGTTGCGGTCCAGTAGCTTTTGTTTTGAAACTTTTCCTACTTCACTGACTATGTTTTTCTCATCAGAACAATAGTCTGGAAGTTCACTAAAAAACTATTTCATATATCAGTAGGAAGCACCGCTGTTGGAGCTGAGACACATGAATAATGAAGTATTGGAAAACCAGAAAAATGAAGAGGAACTCTCTCAAAGACTCTGAATCTTTCAAGAAGCAATATGCCACAGTTCTTGTACAGCTACAGGAAGCCACTGATCAGGCATGTGGCTTTCATGAACTTGGTCAACCTCGCACCTTATTTCAGTTCATACTCTTTTTCTTGCTCTGCTTTACTTGAGACAATACAATACCTACCAAGGAAATTCTCCACCACCATGGAATAAGGCAATACCCATTTCAAGTAGCCCTGCTGGATCAAGCTCCTTCAAACATACTGCATTTTTGTTCAAGAATTGGGATCTTATGTGGCCAAAATTGTTGAGAGTTCAAGATTGACTATAGAATTTGAACTATGAAGGTAGGAAAATCTCTTTGAACTTAAAAATCTAAAGCAGATAGTTGTCTATCCCAAACCCTCTTTTGTTCCTAGACTTGTGAAGATTAACTATGGAATTTGAACTTCATTCTGTAGGTCCGGTGTTCTTAGGTTTTAATCATCCAAGTGATGAAGTTTGGAACTGTGCATCTTAGATTTAAATATGGAGTCACTATGCTTCATTTTACCCTTTTTCACATAGGTTGGGCTACCTTTTTGCTTGAAAGTTGCATTACAGATCATCACAACCGTCTGATCAATGGACCTCTTCATGAATTGTGCCACATATTTCTGTTGTCCACTCATAAACAAGAGAACGGATGGCCTGTTAAGATCATCTGACTGGACAGCTTGAGCTGTGACTTGTCCAAGATGTTAATTTATTTGCTAGATGGTGTTAGATTAATGAGTTATTTCAGTAAAATCGTCCTACCCTATCCTATTAAACAGCGATTCAAATTCAAATTCAAATTCAAATCTGTTATGGTGTCTACTTGCAGTACTTTTCTCAAATACTTTATAGGTAGTCTAATTTCATTTCTAAAAAAAAAAAAAAATCAGGTTATATCCTCATTGAAGTTAGGGGAAGATGCTTTTGCAAGGATTGGAGAGGCTTTAGATGCTGCAAGTAATCGGTATTTCGGAACTAATTCTGTTGTACCAACTGTTAGAGATCCAGTAAAAGGGGTTTGGCTTATCAAGATCAATCAAATTCGAGCACATCAGAGCCAACAACAGGAGTTCCGGTATCTTGTCAGAAGTCAAACGCTACTAACCCAAGTGAATCACAAATACCTTTGGAGCTCATATCATCTTGTGTTTCTACATAGCTCATGATTCAGGTAAACTGAAATGTTGTCATAGTTCTTTGCTCTAACTTCCAAATAGAAAACTAAACAAATGCCTAGTAAGACGACATGATATAACAAGTATCTAAGTTGCTATGGTTGTTCCATTAATTTTTCAGTGGCTCGTGTACTATTATTATTGGTTTCTCCTTGGGATTGTTGAAATATGCATGTTGTTTATCTGAAAACCTGATTACAGAATTTTCGGAATCCCACGGCCAGTAACTCCAGGACCCGATGATGGAAGAAGTTCATAACCATCATATAATGGTCGTATTATATTTGAGATGATTCAAGCACACATTACAAGTACACGCTTTATCAGAGAATATAATGCTAATAACAATGGTACTGTCTATTAACAAAAGTTTGCTTGACAAGCTGTATAAACAGGCAAAACAAAATCCTAGATGATTTTATACATAGTTTAACAGAACACAACAAAATCTAACAAAACAAACACCTCTAATCTTCAATGGCAGAAAAACCAGAGATTAAAGGTGGGTGAGGTCGGTTGTACCTCAACTGTGTTTGTCTCCCTTCACCGATTAATGCCCTAAAATGGCAGAAAAACACAAATTAATCGACTTGTAAAAGTGAAGAAGAAGGGTAGGAGGCGGAGGATGAAGAAAAAGAAGAAGAGAATCTGAGAGAGGGATGATCGATCTTACCTGCAACCATTCGTGCTGTGCAGAGAGGGGGGGGCGGGCGAGAGTGCTGCGTAGCGAGCGAGCGATCGAGAGAGAGAGAGAGAGTCCAAGAATAATTGGAAGAGGTAGGGATGCAAACGAATCGGGTCGGATTCGATACGTGATATATCCGAATTCGATCCGATAGCACGCATCCTATATCCGATCCGATATTAACTTACAAATGGTGATTCCTGATTCGGATTTGACATGCGAGTCTGATCGTATCCTATTAAAGAAAAAAATATACGTATTTCTTCAATTATTTTTATCATGTATATTAATATATATATATATATATAAATTTTATAAAAACTGCAATATAAATATATTTATAAATAAATATGTGTGTATAGGTCAGATCGAATTGGATAGGGGTGATTTGAATTTGATCCAATTTTTCAATGGGATCCCATTATTCAATTTGATCCAATCTAAAATACAGAAAAAAGATCACCCAAATCCAACAAAATATGACCTAATTCTAATCAGATCAGATCATGATTGATCCATTTACACCCCTAGAATGAATAGAGTGAAACACAAATATTTTTTGTGTTGGAAGTAACATACTTTTTTTTGTCAATGACCGAACTTTCATTCTGAAAAGAATGAATTCCATGACAATAATTTTTTATCCAAACACCCTCATTTGATTCAACCTTTGCCCATTCTTTCTTAAAATGGGTAAGAATAGAAAAAATGAGGCCCTTAGCAACAAACCAAATATGGCCTAATGGTAATTATTTTACAAGAATAAATAAGTGAACAAAATAATAGCCCCTTTGTAGTTGCCATGAGAAGGCTTCATTTTATTCATTATTTCTTTCTCGAAGCAGGAAGGAACACGAGGTTATCCAAAAAAACCAATATGGGTTATATCAATGGATTGCGTCTTTTAGGCTGAGTTTGGAAGGAGTATAAATGCAAATATGTAGAGTGCAAAACCTTATATTTTGTATTATTTTATATGTATTTACGCTATACACATTTGCATTTGTACTCTTTCCAAACTGAGCCTTAGTGTCAAAAAACAATGAAGAAAAAAGGAGTAGAGCCTTGATTTGTCTCATAAAACATGGAGAAGAGGAAGAACGTTATTTTTGTTTAGGAAGAAGACGACAAGGAGGAAGAGGAAAAAGGAAAAGGAGAAAATTACTTACATAATTGTGTGAAAACTCTTTGTGCTAATCAACCAATTCAATATAGCTTCTTTCACAGTTTTTGGCACTCAGCAGTAGTATGCCAGTAGCAATTCCCTTGTTAATTGAACCCTAAATCCCTAATCCATTATAATAGAAATTAACAAGTCAGTGCATGGGTTAGTAGAAATTTGGTTAGGTTTAGGTTTAGGGCTGATTGTTTTCAGCCTGGCCGGGGCCAAGCGCACATCAAGCATGCAAAATTAAGGATTGGGTTGGGCCTAATATTTCATGCCTGGCCTGGCTACAAATGTAGGCTCATGATTGGGCTTATGTTTCAAGGCCGGGACTTGTGAGGAAATTAGGGATTTAATGGATAAAGAGCGTGTAATAATGGATTTTATTAGGAACAATTAAGATTTTTGAGTATATTTATTTGACTATTTGAGTAATAATGGACTTTATTATAGACAATTAGGACTTGAGAGGCTTTTTACTTTGACATTTTATATCTTTTATAATTTAATTTAAAAGTAACTAACCACATGTATGAGAAAGAGGAGGGGAAAGAAGTCCATGTCAGCATCATGGTGAGAAGGCCTTGTACATCCTCTCTTCCCTCTTTCTAATGTAGATATAGATTGCTGTAAAAACAATACAATGGTTTATTTGATAGTCCTTGAGTATGGAGCAAAAAAATGAAAAGTATTTATTTATTTACTAGTAATTAAGTACATGTGTTGCACGTGAGAAAATTTTCTTCATATTAATTACTTGAATTTTAGATATATAATAGTTAAAATAGAAATTGAAAATTAACAAAAGTAATAATACGATTAAAAATAAACTTAAATATTTGTTATTCAATTATGACATCATGGGCTTCTTAGAAAAATTGGATCATTGACCCACCATTTAGATAAGAAAATAGCATTGCTTTTGGATTAGTTTTAAATTAGGGAAAATTATAGTCAGAGTTGGTTGTACATTTAAAATTAGGTTACAAGTTGGTCCACAAACCAACATAACTCTGGCAACTAGCTTTACATTTCAAATTAGAGAAATGTCCGCCATGTCATCGGATGCTTATGCGGCTATTACCAATATGGGACTCTTAATTCATGTTGGACACAACAAAAAATTTATACTGAAATTGCCCTTTAATATTGGGTGATTGGAAAATTAAAAAAAAAGAAGGGTTTTTAGTCTCTCTCTCTCTCTCAATCCCCCTCTCACAATCTCACTCACATTCATCTTTATCTGTTCAATGACTATGTGATTTGAAAATAAATAAAAATGGTTTTTGGTTTTTGTATTTACGTTCTCTATATCAATTCTCTCATTCTCTCTCTACCTATAGTTCTCCTTCAATCTCTCTCATTCTCTCTCTACCTATAGTTCTCCTTCAATCTCTCTCATTCTCTTTCTTGGTCGATCTCTCATTCTCCCTTAATTTCTATCGTTTTCCTTCAGTTTCTCTCCTGCTCCCTCTTTCTTTTGTTTTATTTTCTTACACACTTATATGGTATTAATCAGATCGTATAAAAGAACATGAGACCAACTTGGTATGGTTCAAAAATTATTACACCAATTTGATAAAAAAATTACAAGAAACTCTTGGCTATGAAATTTACACCAATTGGAGAATGATAGAGATTGAGGGAGAAGAAGATATTGACTGAGAGGGAAAGTGAAGGAGAAGAATGAGAAAGATTGAGGGAAAACAATAGAGAGAGAGAGAGGTTTTGATTTAGCTACAGACCGAAACTAAGAGTGGGAGAGATAGAGGGAGTGGGAGATCAAGAGATGACTGTGAGAGTGAGAGAGAAGGGAGGGAGATTGAGAGACAAAGGGAGTGGGAGAGAAACTAAAAACCTATTTTCGGTATAAATTTTTTGTTATGTCCAACATGGACTAAAAGACCCATGTTGGCAACAACCACATAAGCCTCCGATGACATGGCAGGGTTTTTTATAATTTGAAATGTAGAACTGGTTGTCAGAGTTTTGTTGGTTTCTAGACCAACCCGCAACCTAATTTTAAATGTACGATCGACTTTGACTATAATTTTCCCTTTAAATTATATATTCCATTTACATTATATAAAATATTTTGTACTTTTCACACTTAATGTTTGTTTGTCTATGGTATCATTTGACTCAAACCACTAACCCACCATCTAAAAATAAAAATTGTTTGATTTCTAGGTTGACATTAAATTTTGTATAACATTTTCATCATTGATAAAATTATTTCTTATGTATAAAAATTGTTTTTGTTTAATATAATGAATGCACAATATTAGTATCCAATATTTTATTTTTTATAAATATATAACATTAGATATGTGCCCAAACTTTTCTCTATATTTTTTTGTTTATTTTTGTGATTCTTTGTATTTTCTATTATTAAAAATTTTATTATTTGACTATGACATCATTTAATTTCTAGGTAGATTTTGAATTTGGCATTCCATTTTTATCATTAATAAAAATACTTTTTACATTTCATAGTTATTTATTTTAATTTTTTATTATTTAATTATGACATTATTTATTAATCCATTTGACCCCAAATAGTTAAATTGCTTGCCTACCACCGGAAGTGAAGAAAATGGTTTTATTTTCAAGTACTTTTCAAAATATTTATTTTTATACTATTAAAATTAATATTGTGGATTTAATTACAAAAATTTAATGATGAGAAAAATATATCTTAAATATAGGACTTAATGAGAGAGAATAGGAAAATATTTTTATTTCCAATTGGTTTTAAATTTTACATTATATTTCCATCATTAATAAAAACATTTCTTATTTTTCATACTTATTATTGTTTAATATGTATGTTAAAAATGTTCTCAATTTTTTTGAATTTCTATTTTTTATTTTATTATTTAGTTGTGGAAACATGGATTAACCCATTTGACCCAAAATGATTTAATTTCTTACCACCACCTAGATGAAAACACTATTTTGGTTAGGTAGATTTTAAAAGTATAAGCTTTTATGTTATTGAAATTATTAATTTATTAAGTATGAATTTAATTAATAGAACTTAATGGTGAGAATAAACAAAAATAACTTAAATATATGATTCAATGAATATGAATGCAAGTTAATAACTTAAATGTTGGATTTAATGAGAGAGAAATGAATGAACTGAATATCTTTAAATTGCTTCTTTTTAACTCATTTAATATCAAGAACCAATTGCCCTATTTACCCTCATTTTTTTATCAATAAATTTAAATATAGATGGGTAAATTTTGTCCTTAGAAAATTCCAGAAATATTCTTGAGGCCATTCGTGCTTTTAAAGTAGTATAGATTTAGGGCCTATTTAGTTTGCAAGAATAAGGGTCTAGAATCAGTATAAAAAATGGCCCATTCTAATTCTAACTATTTTGTTGGGCGTAATCAGAATCCCATTCTCACTCCTAGTGGAATGGCATACTCCCTCCCCCTCTCATTGGGAATGAAATCCCATTATTGCTTATTTTAATTCCCATTTATATTATTGTCTAAGCCAAATAAACTATGGGAATAGATAATTCCAATTCTTATTCTAAGGAATTTTGATTCCAATTTTGATTCCAACTTCGACTAGGTGACTATAAACCAAATGGGCCCTCAGTAGGTGATTTGGTGTAAGGTTTTCTAGGGTCCATTTGATTCACGGGAACGGGGGTTTGGAATCGGACTCAGAATGGTCCAGTTGTTTGGTTGGATGGGATTGAAATTTCATTCCTGGTGGAATGACATTCCCCTATTTTGGTGAATAGCCATTCCATCCCCTCTCTTAGTAATAAAAATCCATTCCAACTGATTTCATCTCCAATTTTCCTGAACCAAACAGGTGGGATGAATAGACCATTCCAATTTTGATTGCAAAGCAAACAGACCCAATTTTATTAGAGTCCATTTTCTTA